TCAGCAGCTTACCCAGGGTCTCCTATCTGCAGGGTGATCACCTGGGTGTTTGTTTGAACCTGTCTGCCCGGCTGCAGAGCTAGTGCCCTTTCCGGGGAGCTGCCCTGCTGCCCCGTCCTGCCTAGGATGGCTCATGAATTGGCCCATCGTTCTCCAGTGATAAGAAGCTTCCCCCTAGTGCTGGGAACCTTTTCTTTTTCTTTCCCTGATTCCTCTTCTACCACCACGTGGCCAGTGGCTCCTCAAAGGAAACATGTTTTACTCGGTGGGGCTCCCCCAGGTTGGTCCTTCGTGAATGACATTTACACCCACAAACGAGGGTCTCTGAATTAGAGCATTTCTGTTCACCAAGTTGTATAGGTGTCGAGGTGAGTCAAAAGCAAAGGGGTCAACTGATCTGAATTAATAAGCCTGACTTCAGGTGCCAAATGAGTCCGTGTTGACTGTTGTTTCTGCCCTCCCGTGACTTTTCTCCTTTTAGGTGAGTTCCCACAGTTCCGACCCCAGCGTTCCCTCTGGCCTCACTAAGGTGGTTGTGAAGCTCTTTGATTCCTACCCCTTCACTGTGACGGTCCCACAAGAAGTCTCCAATCCTAAGTTTATGGAGACTGTGGCAGAGAAAGCGCTACAACAATACCGCCAGAAGAGCCGGTGAGTGTGCGGGCCTCACCTGCGGTCCCTGTGGGCCCATCAGGTCCCTGGGGACTGAGAAAAGGGCAGAGGACCTGGCCTGGGAATCGCTGCTCCTGTAGCCACAGCGCAGGCAGGAAGCCACGAAGTTATTGGGAATTTTCTCCTTCCTTTGGAGGATGTTTCTTCTGGGTTGATAAGAATTGGAGCGTTGGTTGCTGCCTCTCGGTGAATATCAGGCCTCACCTTCCCCTCCCCGCCTTCTTTTTCAGGGAGGAGTGAGACGTGAACGTTGCTTTTCCAAGTATGGGGATGTCTGCATCCAGCTGCCCCCGCGATGAGCCACAGTCCCCTCTAGAGAGCTCTGCACGTCACCAGCTGACCAGGCCCTGGGCTTGAGGCCCTCCTGACCGCACCCAGCTTCTCCCTCTGGATTTGCACTGTAATGCCTGCATTTGCTGATCACGGGAAGAACTTCCCTGCATGCCACTAACTCAATAAACCGCCTTGTAATCTGAATGCTCTGCTGTGTCCTCTTTTTGCTATTTTTGTGTTTTTTTTTTTTTAATCTCCCACACACTTTCATTTGGGTGTGGAAGAAAAAAGGAGAAAAGAAAAAGCAATGGCTAAGATGGTATATTCTCATATAGTTGAGAATAAAAGGAGTGGGACAGTGAAGTTGACCCAGTTCAACGATTTCTTGCTTTTAGGAAGAGAGATGTTCCCTATAGCCCACTAAAAATACGTTTCTGAAAAATGAATCTTTTCCATTCCATTATAAAGCAGATACATATTCTGATGGGGGTGGGGGTGATACCCTGAAGGGATACATTGAAAATTAGGGTGCAGAGGGGGTAAAAATAAGCCCTACCAGTTATTTCCATACATAAGTGATATTTTCCTTATGGAAAAAGTAGTGCCCCTCCAAAACAAAACGAGGTAATTTTCTTTTAGTTGTAAGAGCCTAGAATCCCTGAGGCACCTTTCTTGACTGTGGCATTGATTGGCCACTGTCTGTCTATACCAACTTTGTAGCTTTCCCTCAACCCCAGGAATTTCTCCTCTGCCTGGGTTTCTCGAGATGACTATTCACCCCTCACTCTGAAACATAGCTGGCCTGCAGGACCCTACGTTGCCAGCAGGTGGCAGTGACTAACCGCGGTACTTAACATTAAGAAGCCTCTCCATTTACGAATCTTCTCTACAGAATTCTGTTCATCAAATACACTTCAAATGGAAATAAAAGCCATCTGGATGCATCCCAGGTTTGTAGCAAAGTCCACATGTAAATTAAAAGCTTAAAATGTTCTTAGTTTACCATTCCTTGTTTCTCCTTTCTAAGTTATCAACAACCCTGCCACAAAAGCAACAAACTCTATGGCTTAGTATATGTCCACAGAAGCTAGTACTTTAGTATTGCTATCAAGGAAGTTCAGAGTAAAGTTAGGGTGATTCACTTAAAGATATACCATGACCTTAATTAGGGTTATGGTTCAGAAGGCATTTGCTAAAGTGACCATAACTGTAAATTATATATTACATAATCGTCACAGCTTATGTTTCAAACATTATTTTCTGTTTTCCATTATGTTGCTGGATGCTGGCAGTCACTACACCAAGTTGTTGCTTCTTTTTACGCAACCTCCTTTAAACTCTCCTAGACCTGCCCCCTTAAAATTCAGAGGCTAAAGCTGACTCTGTTTCACTGGGACCCCTTTTCCCCACCCTCTTCCTTCTTTGCACAGTGGCCTGGTTTGAGGGTCCGTGGACGTCCCTCCATCCCCAACAGAAGTTCCAGCCTGAGGCCCTAGAAAGTCCGAGGCAGGAAATGAGATGTTGGTTTCTGGCTTCTAGGATCCTTGCAGCAGAATGGGAGCAGGGCTTGATTTTCTGAGAAGAGAGGGCTTGTCCTCTGCCTGGCAAGGGGAGTGGCACGAATCCACTGTCAGCCTCTACGTTGACACTTGACAGCCTTCTGCCAGAAAACTGTAATTAGATATCATCTCTGATGAGGTGCAACAACCCCAGAGTTGTGCCCTATGCAGCTTGGGCAACTGTAACTAGCAGCCCTGGGCCAACCACAGTGCTCTAACCCCTGGGCCAATTGCTTTGTGTAATCCCATTGGGTCCCTGCAGTTCCCCCTCAGGGCAGGGGTTATTTCCCCCCTGCACAGCACAAAGGCTTCCAGGAGTAGCCTTCATTAGAGAAGTGCCCTGTGACAGCAAGGCCTAGAGGGGAGAAGACCCCACCCCAGTTCCTTGTGGTCCACAGAGACTATAGGCGGGGACCCCAGGTTGCAGCCCTGCACTATGAAGGGGTGGGGAATAGGGGAGCCGTGGGAGCCCGGAAGCCCCTCCCGAGTGCGCCGAGCAGAGCTCGCCACCTAGTGGTGAGGGTGGGCTTGACAGGGGCCCCTTGGTTCGGGCTTCCCTTCCCCCAAAGGCCTCCAATTAGTCTCCTTTAGGCATCACCTCCCCTGGGGTTACAAGGTCACAGAGTCACAGTGACGGGATTGGAGGGAAATGCTCACCACGGAAGAGAAACTTTGTCCCACCCCAAGGGCGCTGGAGGCTTAGACTGCTGGCAGGGGCCTAAGGAGGACACATGCACCAAGTTCAAGGCTGGCCCAAGGACAGCGTCCACTTGTCTAGGAAGAGAGGAGACCCCTGGGTAGTAGCAGCCCGGGTCAGCAGGCCAAGCAAGACCCCGCCTCACCTCAGAGGAGCTTGACCAGGAGCGAGGAGGACGTCGGGGCCCAGCGTGGGGCCCCGCCCCGCCCCTGCTCTGCTCAGATCCCTAGGAGGGCAGCCTGTGTGCCCCTCACCTCCTCCAGCCCTCCTCCTCTGACGTGGGAGGGGGAAAGTTTTGCTTTGGATGCAAGGGTGACGTTCCATAGTAAACTTTGGATCGTTTTAGTAATTGTGAGCTTTTCAGGAAGAAAAAACCCAATCTGCGTGAGCTGTTAAGTGATGGGAACAGTGGTCAGAGGGAATCAAATTGTTTCGTGTTTGTGCCTCCAAAGCAATCGAAACTCCACCGTAAACAGATTCCCGGAGTCGCATCCACAGTTGAGCATGAGGTGTAGACAGCAAGTGGATCGGGGAGAGGTAATTGGGAGTGCGGGTGTAGACATAATAAGGACCATTTATTTGCAGTCTTGCAGAATTGGGATCAAACCCAGGTCTGATTCTGGGGTCCATGGGGCCCTCGCTGGCCAGGCTCCCACCTTAGTATCCTCTCTAGACCCAGCATTTGCTCGGGGTTTTCTCGCTGTGACAGGATAGCTTGGCAAACCCAGGAAGTATGAAATGGATCTAAAGACAGCTCAAGAGGGACTCGGGTCTGCAGGATTTATTAATAGAACTGATGATTACCAAATCAGTCGATATGATAGCAAGTGAATGCCAGGCCAGGTGGAACAATTTACGAGGTTAATAATGAACTCTCTGTTTGCCTCTGGGATATCTCAACCCCTCGGTCAGAATCCTCCCGGAGGATGACACTGCACAGGGTGGGGTGGGGTGACGGCCGTTGGTCCAGCGCCTCCTGCCCTGCGCCCACCACTCTGAGGACTCGGTCAACAGTTGCCTCCAGCCAGGTCAAGTCCGCTCCAAGGTTGGGGAAGGGGACTCACTCAGGCTAGGAGAGGGAACGGAGACAGGTCAGCACTTTACTTGCCCTCATCTGTTGCCTCCAGCACCAAAGGAGTAAAGATAACGACGTTCAGCTGGGACCAGACGTTCTCCTACAACCTCCTCTTGATATCCAGACCCTTCGGTGCCCAATTCAATAAAAATGAGCACCTGACCCAGGCTGACAGCCACACAGGTGTAGGTGATGGGTGGACCACTTACTCCAGCCTCACGTCCATAAAGAGGATTTTGCCTTCTTTGGGAAGGGCTTCGTGCACAGGTATAAAATCACAGAGATGCACTCACAGCACCGAAGGAAGGTGTTCATTCCCCAGATTCAAGCCTGCGACCCCTCCCCAGCCCACCTGCCCAGAGTGCACAAGGTATCATTCTTTTTTTTTTTCTTTTTAATTAAAAAAAAAAATTTTTTTTTTGGCCGTGCCCCACATCATGGGGGTATCTTAGTTCCCTGACCAGGGATGGAACCCATGCCCCCTGCAGTGGCATCTCGGAGTCTTAACCCCTGGACCCACCGCCAGGGGAAGTCCCAAGGTATCTTTTTTTTTTTTTTTTTTTTT